GTATCTTCCTTGGTACCGGTAAATCGCCCAAACCGGCAACATCCTTAGAAGCAGCAAAATCCAAGTCGTCAAAGAAATTATTGAAAGAATTGGTTTCTCCTTGGGCCCCTTTGCCGAGGTTACCTTTCAATACTTGGGCCTCGTTTATCATAGAATTTGTAAACGAAGACGACCCAGAAAGGTTAATCACCCCAAGCGCCTCCTTGGGGACATTATCTTCTGATCGAGATATACCGACTAACATTTTCTTTTTCGACCTCGCTTGATCGGGGCAAATTGTTCTCGACCCTCCCGGAGACTTCGACCACTGCTTCTTCTACGACCTCCATAGCTTGAGGCATTTCGGAGCCGCTTCTCACGCGGGCCACTAACTCAGAATCTTCTTCTTCTTCGGACTCATCCCTCAACCGAAGGAGTGAGTCATGAGAGTTCTTGGGCGCTGTCTTTCTTAGGTTTATGCGCCAACCGTTTCCTAGGTCTTTTCTTTTCAGGGACTGAGGAACTCAGAGTTTTTCTTCTTTTCTTTTCTTTATCCTACTTTGGAGTAGAGGGATTGATGAAACTATCATCATCGACTGATGGAGGCCTCATCTCGACGTCTTTTAGTAGACCTACAAAGAGAACATTGAAAAATTCAGAGATCGTTGATGGGAAAATAAGATCGAATATAAAGAAGAAATTCTCACCATGATTACGGGCCTCCCACCGGCCCTTCGAGAGCTCACGCCATAAGCGCTCAGAATAAGGTCTTTGTGTCACAATGTCCTCGACCCACACTTTGAGTCAAGGAACGGGATCCGACATCTGGGCAATAGCTGCATCATCAAATAACATCGATGATAAGGGACAAAAAAGGAAAAGCAATAAGAGAAATCTTAAAGACGAAGTTATACTTATGATTCATATTCCATTTCTCAGGAAATGGCATATCCGCAGCCAGGATCAAGTCCGAGGTCTTTACTCGAACGAACCAGCCCAACCAGCTCCGGTCCCGATCCTCATCGATGCTCGAGAATGTGGCCTTAGTGGCACGACGTGCGAGCTTGATTAATCCCCCCAATAAAGTAGAGGGCTATACAGGCGCATGAGATGGTCGATAGTAAATGGACATCCCTCAAATTTGCTTACGAAGAAACGTAAAAGAATTATAATCTTCCAAAACGAGGGGTGAATCTGCCCGAGAGTCACCTTATACCTTTTGCAAAAGTATATAATGACTGGGTCTAAAGGACCCAGCGTGAAAGGGTAAGTGTAAACACTTAGAAACTCCTCCACGTATGTGGTGATTGATTCCTCGGAGGTTGGGATCACAACAAGTTTATTTTTCCAGTGGCAGTCCTCTTTGACCTTATCGAGGACGATAACGGTAATGGTATATATGTACCTCAAGACCGGCTCACACCGACCCGGTACCAAGGGGGAGTTCTCAATCTTGAAGTTGGCTCCGGTTGGGCACCCCGAAGGTACAAACGATTGTGGAGGGGGTTCTGGTGTTGGCTCTTCAGTAGCAACAGCTGTGACATCTCCCGACGGCTTCGAGGAAGAAGGGTTTTCTTTTTGTGGAACAATTTTTGAAGTCTTTACCATTTTTTTCTAAATTGAGAAGAGAAGAAGACGATGGTGAGAGAAGGGTTGTAACTAATAGGTAGCTTATGAAGAAAATTTGAAGGACTCACAAGGAAGGGAGTTCTTAAGCTTAAATCAGAAAATCAGAAGATGAAAATGATGAAGTTTCTCTTAAAACGCATAAGCAAGAGCGGGAATGGAAAAGGTTCTTATGAATGGATTGAAGGGTATTTATAGTGTTCCCAAATGGCAGTTCAAAATACGGTGGTGCACATCCCGAGATAGTCGGCCATTGACTGACACATATTTAATGCCTCGAAAACTGGACTGACAGGATGTTTCCACTATTCTTATCACTTACGTCATGATTTCATCGTCATGATTTATCGAAGTGAGGACCAGGGGTTCATATAGTTTTTCATCGTTTACTCTCCAAAAAATGAGGGGACTAACTGTATACGGGTAAAATCGAGCTCGATGCTTGATCGAGCATCTGGAACAATAGACCAGGCTCGAATCATCTATTAGAGATCGAAGCACCGTGAAACCGAGCTCAATATCGAGGTTCGAAGCTCGACAAGACTATCATATTTGCCCTCGAGTTTACCGAAGGCACCACCGATCCTGCTTCTAACGGCCTTGAGGAAACGTTTCACCAACTCATCCGACAAGGATTCATCATTTTCGCCATTAACCAAATTATTATGGTAGAAATCACGGGATTAAGTCAAAAAAGGGACCAATGGTTTACGAAATCAAGGACTTATGTTTTTTATTAAATAATATCTTAAAAGGAAGATCTCCCCAATATATAAGGGGGACTTGATAATTCATGGGCACACATTGTAACATACTTAAGAGAACAAGATACTATTTTTCAGCTTTGTTCATATTATTCTGGCTTCAATATTATCACATCTAAATTCGAAGGAAATTAACCTTGCAAGGCTTAAGTTGTTCAATCTGCACGGTTTGCCTTTATTTTTCTACTTATTCTTCCATATTAAATCTCATTTCTCACTTTGTATCAAATTAGATCACATATCCTTAAAACCGCGAACAAATTCAATTGTTATCCGATTTTGGGGGTAAACATTAGTACAAGTGTTTAAGCCTGCACAAAATGTTTTGTGTGTATATATATATATATATATATATATACACATTTTGTATACAAACTTTATACACTTTTTCGGTTACCAAATATAAATAGTTTCTAGCGCGGGTTAAAAGTGAAAAAAGTCCAAAATTTTTGCACCATAAAAGAAGTATTTCTACATAGTTCAAAGTTTGAAAATAAGTTTTTAAGATTATCTTATATAAAACTTCAGGTAAAACATGACAATCATTTTTGGATTTGTAGAGCGTAATTCTTCTTAATGTGAAAGCACATTTCACTATTGTGTTGTTTGTGTGGACAAGCCTCCAGACATGATGGGTAAGCTCTATTGATCTTTAAAATTTTTAGTTTATAAATTAATAAAATGACATAATAACCACAAAAGGTAATATGAAGTACATTAACAATTTAAGAAAATTTAAAAGGATCAAAATAACCAAAGAAAATAAAATATGTAGCATTTTTTGTAAATATGAACAATGCAATAGTGTTAAAGTTACTATGAGCTACAATTACTCTTTAAAAGTTAATAATTACTAAACTACATCAGTACTATAATTTAAAATGTTACTTCTTATGACCAGAAAATATAAAATTGCTTGTAAATAATACATAATAAAAGTTCGATAATTTTGAGAGATATAAAGCTCAGATATGAAGACCTATATTAAAAGAAGATGTAAATTTTGGTTTATAACTATTTTCAGAAAAAATATTCAAATAATATTTATCCTCACAATGTTCTCAATTAATAAATATGCAATATAATTAGACATCTCTATTACAACATTACTATATAACAACCATTCACTATTAAAGTCAAGTTTCTTTTGAATTAATTTTCATGTTATATTATAATATATGTTCTTTATAACACAATTTCGCTATAACAACCAAAAAAATTTAGAACAATCGAGACTATTATAGAAATGTTTAACTGTACTATGACTCATTATTTTGAGTTACTCTCTATCTTCATATTTCTATAGATTAATTTAACTTATAAAACCTTTTAGCTCTTAGGCGGGTCCAAGAAAGCCTTTTAAAGCTATATAGAGCTGTAATGAGGCATTTTAAACTTTAGAATCGGATCTGGATTTAAGTTGAGAATCCTGTTTAACGTGTAAGATTAATTTAATATAAGTTTACTTATTTAGTACTATTTATTAACAAGTTGATACCGACACAACCATTTTTTTTAATATAGTAATCAAACTTCTTCAAGATGGAAGTCCACGATATATCTTCTTTGCTATTCTTCCTCTTCATTTCTCTTGCCTGAAATCATAAAGTTAAAAAACACTGGACCAATTTTTCTCTCTGCAACCACTCAACTCAACAATCGAAGGTTAGATTTCTCTTTCGTTATTTCACTTTTGAGCATTTCTTATGTCTGCTTTTACAAGATGCAGTCTACGATGTGATGGTGATTTTCTTTTTCTTTAACAAATCTCCAGATAATTTCCAGTGAAAGTACTTTAATTTTAGCACAAACTGTACATAAATCAACTACGTTTACCTTGATAACAATTAGTAATATTGATTAGTTGCTTAGGTAAGAAAATTGTTACACCAGTACCCACCTTAGTCTTTCTAGCTAAAAAATATCAAGTGTATAAAAATGGCAGCCCGGGGCACTAAGATCCGGGAAAGTACCGGACCACATGTGTCTACTGTACGCAGTCTTATTAATCACTGTATTTAATAGCAGGAGAAAGTTTTCTGGAACATCAAACTTTAAATTTGGTGGAATATTGAAAGAAAAAGATTAAACTTTAAACTTATTAGTGTGAAACTTTTATGTTAATTCCTCTGTTTTTCAGATCTTAGATGTTGAAGATTGTAGCTCTTCAACTTCACAGAAAATATTATTATGGGAAGCCCTTGCATGACATTCGACTTGAAGCAGTACTGGTTATACACTCGCACTACATTGCAATATCAATTAGTACTTGATAGGCTCTAGTGTCCTCACAAATTGGGATTTGGGAGGGAGTGGTATGGGGTTATTCCTCATAGTCAACAACAACAACGACATACATAGTGTGGTTCCACAAGTGGGGTCTGGGGAGGGTGGTGTGTACGCAGTCGCAGATCTTACCCCTAGCTTGTGTAGGCAGAGAGTTTGTTTCCGATTGACCCACTTGATTATATTTTCTTTATTGGTGTGTAGACACATAAGACTTTATATGTGTCATTAGTTTAATTTATATTCTTGTTTCCTTCCTATTATGGAGGCTGACAGAGCTATCATTAATTCTGATGTATGTAGATTATACTTCCAACAATCATAAAGAGGCCAAGTTAATTGATAATGGAATTTGAAGAACTAGTGGGATTTCGTGAATATGTAAATGTTATGATTCGCCAATTGGTGCGCGAGCCTAGAGACCTGGACGTTATCTCGATTGTTGGAATGGCTGGACAAGGAAAAACAGCTTTGACTAGAAAGGTATACAATAATCATTATATTGTTGATCACTTTGATGTTCGAGCATGGTGCTCCATTTCAAAAATATATAATCGGAGAAAGTTGTGGCTTGATATTCTAAAACAAATTAAGGGTGATAAGCGTGATACTGTAGATGATGACTATAGCATAGCTGACATGTTGCGCAAAAGTCTATATGGAAGGAGATATCTCATCATATTGGATGACATATGGGAAGTCAGGGCATGGGATGACTTGCGATTATGTTTCCCTAATACAGAAAATGGAAGTAGAATAATGGTAACAACTCGAGATGTACATGTGGCTATGCATATTAAGCACCATAGTGATCCTTGTTTGCTTCCATTTCTAAAGGACGAAGAGAGTTGGGAATTATTGCAGAAGAAAGTATTTCAAGGAGAAAGCTGTCCTTTGGAGCTACTCAATGTAGGACCACTAGTTGCAAAAAAATGTAACGGATTTCCTATTCTGATCATCATGATTGCTGGAATTCTCTCTAGAAAGAAAGAGGACCCGTCTTTCTGGCTTGAGGTTGCATATGATATAAGTTCTCATGCTTCTGTAGAGGACAGCATGAAGATGATACAATCAAGTTATGACCAATTAGAGGACCATTTGAAGCCTTGCCTTCTGTACATGGGATTGTTTCCTAAAGGTTATGAAATTCCAGTGTCTGATCTGCTGAAGTGGTGGATAGCTGAGGAGTTTGTGCTAGAAGAAACATCAAACAGTTGCTTGAATGATCTTGTTAGAAGAAACCTAGTAATGGTTTCTAAAAGAAGAGCTAATGGTGAAATGAAATACTGCATAGTTCTTGATCAAGTGCGTGAGTTCTGCTTGAGAAAAATTAAAGAAGAAAAGTTCATTGAGTCCATAGTGCCGTATAATTCATGTCAACCTGTAGATTCGGATGTACAAAGGTTATGCATGTATATACATGACACTATGAAAACTGATTACAAGGAAAGGGAATCTTTTGAACAACGTCAAATGCCACTGGAGTTCATTGCTCATCCGAAATTCGGTATATCAGGCCGTAAGAATCTGTTCCCTCTGCTGAATAACTTAAGACTTATTCGGGTGTTGCATTTATTGGATATCTACTTGGAAAATTCTTGGGCTACTGCATTTCAATCACTGACTCAGTTGAGGTTCCTTGCAATTTTTGTCAAAGCATTTGATTTCAAGTGGGTGTCACACCTGCTCCATCTACAGACCTTGCGTGTTCGTTCATCTTATATA